ACGACAACGCGCCCGCGTTCGCGCAGGCCGAGTACACGGTGTTCGTGAGGGAGAACAACGCGCCGGGCTGCCCCCTGGTGACGGTGTCGGCCGCGCGACGCGGACGCGCGGGAGAACGCGCGCGTGTCGTACTCGCTGGTGGAGCGGCGCGTGGGCGAGCGCCTGCTGTCGAGCTACGTGTCGGTGCACGCGGAGAGCGGGCGCGTGCACGCGCTGCAGCCGCTGGACCGCGAGGAGCTGGAGCTGCTGCGCTTCGAGGTGAGCGCGCGCGACGCGGGCGTGCCGGCGCTGGGCAGCAACGTGACGCTGCAGGTGTTCGTGCTGGACGAGAACGACCACGCGCCGTGGGTGCTGCCGCGGGGCGCGGGCGGGCCGGCGAGCGAGGCGGTGCCGGTGTGGGTGTCGCGGTCTGCGGGCGCGGGCCACGTGGTGGCGAAGGTGCGCGCGGTGGACGCGGACGCCGGCTACAACGCGTGGCTGTCCTACGAGCTGCAGGCGGCGCCGAATGGGGCGGCGTCGGGCGGCGCGCGCCTGCCGTTCCGCGTGGGGCTGTACACGGGCGAGATCAGCACGACGCGCAGCCTGGACGAGGCGGACTTGGCGCGCCAGCGGCTGCTGGTGCTGGTGAAGGACCACGGCGAGCCCGCGCTGACGGGGCCACGGTGCTGCTGTCGCTGGTGGACGGCGGGCAGGCGCCGGCGGCGGCGTCCTCGCGGGCGGCGGCGGCGGCGGGAGTGGCGGGCGTGGCGGCGGCGGCGGGCGGCGCGGCGGCGCTGCTGGACGTGAACGCGTCCCTGATCGTGGCCATCTGCGCCGTGAGCAGCCTGCTGGTGCTGACGCTGGTGGTGTGGACGGCGCTGCGGTGCTGGGCGCCGGCGGCGGAGGGCGCGTGCGGGCCGGGGCAGCCTGCGCTGGTGTGCGCGAGCGCGGTGGGGAGCTGGTCGTGCTCGCAGCGGAGGCGGCAGCGGGTGAGCGGCGGCGAGGGCGCGCCCAAGGCTGACCTCATGGCCTTCAGTCCCGGCCTTCCTCCTGGTCCAGAAAGCGAGGATGGAATGAATGTGGACGTTGACCACTCCGGCAAAGTGAGTATTTTTATTTATGCTTCTAAAATGTGCTGTTAAAAATTCTCTAACGTCTTCGTTCCTTTGCAATATTGTTAAAAGTTAAACACGCTACACTGTGTTTTCGGAGTTTGAGTGAACTAAATTGAAAATATGTCGTGAGGTACATCACTATAGTTTAATTTAGTGTTTATCAGTGAATGCAGTGGTAAGATTTATTGCTAAAAGTCTGGGTTGAAAATAAAAAAATATCGTTGAATAGTATTTTTTTTAGAGATTTGAGTAGAACTTTGGTCAAGTCGTTCCTTCACAATGCCTCCATATTTTTTGCCACCTACATTGGCTGCTCCTAGTACGTGGTAGAATCACTGGTCCATTATCCATCACACTAAATGCACACAACTCTTTTTATGTCTCTACCTTCAGTTTCAAGCATTATTTTACCGGTTATCTTATATGGAACCTTTTTATTCTCTTATTAATTTTTTGAAGTCTCCTTCCCTCCTCTCTCTCTGAATATTATTGTTTCACACCTTTTAGATTTATATCTTGTTCATCGTCAGTTTCTCAATAGTTTTATTAGTAGTAATTAAAATATATGTTAAGTGAAGAGTTAATACTCCCATACTAAAAGTAAACATTGTTACAGAATATTTTTAAATTTAAGAACTATTTTCATCTGAAAAATCTGTCGGATATAATAATGTATATCTAATTTTAAAACTATAGTTACTAGCAAAAGTTTTTTTCATTAATTTCTTTTTCTTGCAATACTAAGGGTGCCAGTGTGACATAAATTTGATGTCAGTGTCATTCCTGTGACGTTCTCTGAATATCACCCATTGATTGTGCCATGCAGTAACTAGAAACTTGCAAATAACTGACACTGATTAAATCTGATGTTATGGTAATTTCCAGTAAATCCTCTCTCTTCAGTTGTTTATCCATGTCCCTAGTAAATAGACTTACATTCAACTTTATTTTCTTTTACTTTTTTAAAAATATTTATTTATTTTGAAAGAGTTACAGGAGAGAGAGAGAAGGGGGGAGAGGGAGGGAGGGAGAGAGAGAGAGAGAGAGAGAGAGAGAGATCTTCCTTCAGCTGGTTCACTCCCCCAGATGGCTGCGATGACCAGTACTGGGACAGGCAGAAGCCAGGAGCTTCATCCTGGTCTCCCAAGTGGGTGGGAGGGGCCCAAGTACTTGGAATTTCTTCTGCTGCTTTCCTAGGCCTTTACCAGGGAGCTGGATAGGAAATGGAGCTGTTGGAATACATACTCTTGTCCATGTGTGATGGTGGCATCACAGGTGGCAACTTTACTTACTACACCTCAATGCTGGTTTCCCCCCACCCCATTCAATTTTCTTGCCACTGGAGAGAATTAGTAGCCAGCTGAAGCCTGATTAAAATTCAATGACAGTGTAGGGATTCTAACATGTAAAATAAGGATGAGTTTCTTCATTGCATTTTCCCATCCCCCCCCTTTTTTTTCTGTTACTATCCTTTGTTGCCCCCTTATCCATCAAGTATTTTGCATCACATGGACAGCTTCAGTTCGATGTTAATTTTGTGAGTTCTGGTGTCATCCTATTGTAAATAATAGGGTCATTCAGAGTTATATCGCCCTGATTATGAGATTTCAGTCTTCAAATTCAGCTCTCCTCTTGAAATTCTTGACCAATAAGATTGTTGGCTAAGACATTTTGAACATTTTTCAATTTTTTTCTCTTCAGAGATGTATTTATGTTACACTAAATGAATATGGAAGATTCCAAATAAAAATCCACTTCTATTCTTTTGAATCCTCATTTATGTATTTAAATATACTGTAAAGTAAAATGAATGATAAAAAACTTTTCACTTTCTTCTAGTATGCTTAACATCTATGATCATTTTGTAGAAATCTACAATTTGAGTCCCTAAACAGTGGAAGAACTCTGATTTCTTTTTTTTCTTTTTTGACAGGCAGAGTGGACAGTGAGAGAGAGAGAGACAGAGAGAAAGGTCTTCCTTTTGCCATTGGTTCACCCTCCAATGGCCGCAACGGCTGGCACGCTGTGGCTGGCGCACCGTGCTGATCCAAAGGCAGGAGCCAGGTGCTTCTCCTGGTCTCCCATGGGGTGCAGGGCCCAAGCACTTGGGCCATCCTCCACTGCCTTCCCAGGCCACAGCAGAGAGCTGGCCTGGAAGAGGGGCAACTGGGACAGAATCTGGCGCCCCGACCGGGACTAGAACCCGGTGTGCTGGCGCCGCAAGGCGGAGGATTAGCCTATTGAACCGCGGCGCCGGCCAGAACTCTGATTTCTGTTTTGATTCATAAATTTGTTTTCTGTGAGCATTGTGTTTTTTAGAGGTGGAGCCTCTATTTTTTACTAGGTTGACTTTTTTTTCTAGAAAAACATGGATTAAAGTAGCTTATGAACATAAGGGGCAAGATAGTTTGAAGATAGATACCAACATGTCCCTCTGTGGTAGGTTTCTTTATGAACGAAAATTTATTGTTCTTTATTTGGTGGGAAGCCTTCACTGTCTAGTAGATACCAGGGTGACTCAAAGATCAGGAATTGTATTGAAAATTAAGCTAAAACCCAGGTTTTCAAATGAAATTGAAATAAGTCTTCAGCTCAATTCACTATAGCTAAGACATGGAATCAACCTAATGCTCATCAACTAAAGACTGGATAAAGAAATTCTGGGGCATGTACTCCATGGAATACTACACATCAGTAAAAAAAATGAAATCTGGTCATTTGCAACAAAATGGATGAATCTGGAAAACATCATGCGTAGTGAAATAAGCCAGTCCCAAGGGGAGAAATATCGTATGTTCTCCCTGCTCTGTGATAACTAATAGAGCACCTAAAAGGAAATCTGTAGAAGTGAAAATGACACTTTGAGAAGCAATGACTTGAACAGCCCTTGTCTTGACTGTTGAGGAACAGGTATTTTTTTTTCTCTTCTTCATATTATTTGTTGAACTCTTAACACAGAATTAGTGATATGTGTATAAAGTCAACTGAAAATAGATCTCAGTAAAAAACAAGAGTGAGAATAAGAGGGAGGAGGAAGCTTATAACTGTAAAGCTGTACAGTTCTGCATACATTCCTAATTACTTCTAAGGGTACAGTTTAAGAATTTGCCATGGGACCCCAAGATCCCATTAAGCCAGGTGGTAAAAATACTATCTTAAGTGTTAAAGTGACCATGTTAAATATTAATATGATCATATAGATAGGATTAAGTGTTAAAGGGATCATATAAATACAATCAAGTGTCTGGTAATAATAATAGAATTAAAAAAGAGAATGTTTCAACATGGGAAGAAGTTCACACAGCAGACTCATAGAATGACAGTTGCTTTAAATAGCACATTAACCTCAGAATCAGTCGTTAAGGCATCCTGATCTGGCTGAAAAGCCCATGAGAGAATTTCAGGCATGGAAAGCCAAGACACTGTGGCAAAAAAAATGCCCTACATGAAGGATCTCTGAGAGAGACCCCAGTGGAAAGAAGTGACCATCAAAAGAGGATGTAATTTTCTCTGAAGGGAGGAGAGAACTTCCACTTTGCTTATGGCCTTGTCTAAATACTGATGGAGATTGTGGATTCAGAAGACTTCCATAGCCTTGGCAGCTCATGACAAGAGCCTCGGGTGATCACTGATGTCATACATAAGAGTGTTCATTGTTAAATTAATGACAGGAGTCACTGTGCAGTTACTTCCCATGCAGGACTTCTGTCCTTAATGAGTTGTATTATGGGAATTAACTGTAAAACTTTTTCCTAAACAGGTTTTTTTATGTGTATGCAAATTGTTGAAATCTTTACTTAGTATAGAGTTTGTCTTCTGTGTATAAAGTTAATTGAAAATGAATCTTAATGGAGAATGGGATTGGGAATGGGAGAGGGAGGAGGAGGTGGAGTGGGAATGGGGGTGGGAGGGAGGATAGGGTAGGAAGAATCACTATATTCCTAAGTCATACTTATGAAATTTGTACTTATTAAATAAAAGGTTTATTTGGGGAAAATATATCTTAGGACAGGGTCTAAGTAAAATCTTTTTTATGTCTTTAGAACATTATACAGGGTGCTGAGATATCATACTTTCCTGTCTAGCTATGTGACCACATTAAATTATTGCATTTTGTTAGGCAATTAGCGACAGTCAAGCCATTTCTTTTGGGTAAATATTCGAATAGTACTAGGTGGGTATTTTTGAGCTACTAAACTTTTAAATTAGTGACTATTACCTTTAAAATTAGTATTTTGGGAGAGGATATACACACATTGTTGCAAGAGAGAAATTCATGTAATAAATGGCCTAAGTGATTCAATTTGGCTACTTCAGTTTATGAAATGTAATGATGTCTGACCTATTGGTTTGATCATGAAATTCTAATGAGCCAGAGAAATTTTAAATCATCATGAAATGGGAGAAATTTATTTGTAAATAGTTTAGAAATGATGCATATTTCTTACAGCATGTTTACTGATAAATGTTCTTGGAAGCAGCAAATTACTCAGAGTAACTAAGACATATGAGCACTAATAGGAGAAAACAGACCTGTTAGATCCTGGTGAACAGGCCATAAGAGTGGGAATGAGAATGCTACCCTGGGAGGCTATGCAGGCTGAGCTGCTGGTGGCATCCCATATAGAGGGCTGGTTCAGGTCCTGGCTGCTCTGCTTCCAGTCCAGCTCCCTGCTAATGTGCCTGGGAAGGCATCAGAAGATGGCCCGGGACTTGGGCCTCTGCCACCCATGTGGGAGATCCAGTGGAGTTTCTGGCTCCTGGCTTTAGCTGAGCCTAGCTCCAACCATTGCAGTCATTTGGGGGGAGTGGATGAGAGCATGGAAGATCTCTTTCTCTCTGTCTCCCCCTGCTTCCTGTCATTCTCCCTTTAAAATAAATAAAGTAAATCTTTAAAAAAGAGAGAATATCACCCTTTCTCATAGGAATCAATGAGTTACATTCAATAAAATTACTTGGAATACTTTTCTAGCTATTTCTATTTCCTTGTTAAACCTTCCTTGCAAAGTCAGAACAAACTTTCCTTGCACTTTCAGCCCTGTGATGAAAAGAGGAAGTTCTTCAATTAAATGGTGATGGCATTTGATGCCTTGTAAAAAACATTTGCAAATTTATCTTTCCATGGCTGGTTCTCCGACTTGGAGTTTTCCCAGGTGCTGGTGTAAGTCTCTGTATTGACTCATGTCAACACAGGAACAGAGATGTGAGGATTAAGAGGTATTGGCATCACTGACAACCTCTGCTGTCCTCAGGAACACATGAATTTTCCTTATCAACGCTTTGCAATTGTGTGTTTACAAAGTGTATATGACCTACAGTTAAGTCTCTAAATACTGAAAACCTCTATTTTGTTAAAAAGGGATTTTTACTGAAGTAGAAGTTGCTCCTGTAGTAAAACTAAGAATTACACCCGATCGATCAGTGGCTCAAAAAGTGTAAACAATAAGTAAGAAATGAGAAAAAATGTGGATAAGGTGAAAGAATAAATAAAATCTAGCAGTTATATAGTCTGGATTGATAGAATGGGTACTTACGGTTTAGAGCCACATGATGTCGCTCTTTACCATAAAATAGGTCCGAAAGAAGAACTAATAAAAGGGGAAGAATCCCTCTGTTCTCGGAGGGAAGACGCTGTATCCGGCAATGGAGGATGCATCAGCGCTGGACTGACCGATTTAAAAGATTTCTGCTGATTCTAATTCTAGTTCCCAGGTCAGAAGGAAGCACCGTGCTCTGGAGATGAAATATTTCTGGGCGATTCGTCAGGAATCCAGATGCCTGCTGCCCTGGTTCCTGCTGCTCACAGCCTGGCGGGCGGGCAGCGCCCAGCTGCGCTACTCGGTCCCCGAGGAGGCCCAGCACGGCACGTTCGTGGGCCGCCTGGCGCAGGACCTGGGGCTGCCGCTGGCCGAGCTGGTGCCGCGCCTGTTCCGGGTGGCGTCCAGGGCCGGCGGGGACCTGCTGGAGGTGAACGTGCAGAACGGCATCCTGTTCGTGAACGCGCGGATGGACCGCGAGGCGCTGTGCGGGCGGAGCGCGGAGTGCAGCGTGCACCTGGAGGTGGTGGTGGAGCGGCCGCTGCAGGTGTTCCACGTGGAGGTGGAGGTGAGGGACGTCAACGACAACCCGCCCGTGTTTCCAATGGCCGTTAAACATCTGTTCATTGCGGAATCCAGACCTCTTGGTTCTCAGTTTCCACTGGAGGGCGCGTCCGATGCAGACGTCGGAGCCAATGCGCAGCTGACCTACACGCTGAGCCCCAATGAGTACTTTTCGCTGGAAAAACCATCTGACAGTGAGCGGGTACAAGGCCTTGGCCTTGTATTACGAAAGTCACTAGACCGAGAGGAAGCTCCGGAGATTTTTTTAGTGCTCAGGGTCGCAGATGGGGGCAAGCCTGAGTTGACCGGAACCGCCGAATTACTCATCACGGTACTGGACGCAAACGACAACGCCCCGGTTTTCGACAAAGCACTCTACGTGGTGAAATTACCGGAAAATGTCCCCAATGCCACGTTGGTAATTAGAGTGAATGCCTCGGATCTAGATGAAGGCTTGAATGGGGATATTATTTATTCATTCTCAACTGATGTTTCCCAAAACGTGAAGTCCAAGTTCCACATAGACGCAGTTACTGGACAGGTGATTGTGA